TAGAATCATGCAGAAAGTACTCTACAATAAATATCCCTCAAGCAGGAATGCTCCAAAAAGTTTCTTATTTGCAAGGACAACGGGAAATTCAGAAAATGATTGAATAATTGTAAATCTCAATTCTCAGTTACAGAAACACAATTTCTTAGACAAGAGACAAGAAAAAGTAATTTTGTATGACTAAACCTTATAATGATAATGTTTGATAGTAGTACATCGATGTCTTCTACTTTTTAATGGAAATTAGCATGCCATAAAAAAAAATCTACTCATGTGCCTCTTAGAATACACCTGACTAGGCAGAAATTGGAAGACTTCCTGCCTTAAAAATAGAGCCCTCATGGTGCTGAACATCTTTATTCCTTGTTCTTGGGAGGCAGAGGCAGTCAGATCTCTGACTTCAAGGCCAGCCTTGTCTTCAGAGTGAGTTCCAGGACAACCAGGACTACACAAAGAAACCCTGTCTCTAAAGGCAAATAAACAACAACAACAAATATAGAGAGCTCCAAAACGGATAGTAACAGTGTTACCTTACTACCTATTCAATTTCTCTTATTATCTAAGAGCTTTAACATGACCTCAGGCTGTCATCAAGTATAGGCTACCCTACTGTATCTGAAAATCATAAAAAGCTCTAAGATGAAAGTAGTTGTAAAATGCTATTCAATATCCTACTAGCTACTTGGGAGACAGAGAATAGTATAAAAAGCTAGAGGCTAGCCAGGACAATTTAGTAACATTGTATCTCAAAAACATTTTTAAGATGGGGCACAGGAATACACACCTATAATCCTATCAGTACTTTTGAGAGACTGATAAGAGTTTAAGTTAGAAGGCCTGGGTAGTCTACAGGATCCTGACAGTGGAACAAGGATGTATTTATCCCTGGTGCATGAAAGGACTTTGGGAGCACATTCCCCATGGAGGGATACTCCCTTAGCCTAAAGACATGAGGGAGGGCCTAAGCCATATTCCAAATGACTTGACAGATTTAGATGATCCCTCCTGGAATGCCTTATCCTCCCTGCGGAGTGGGTGGGGAATGGAACGGGGGGGGGGGGGGGGAGGGGTTATACAGGAGGATGGGAGGGAGATGAAACTGGAATCAATATGTAACATAAGATAAACAAAAGTTTAAAACAAGCCTAAACTATATATATGGTAAGCCTTCAAAAAAAACCCAAAGCACCAACCAAACAGTAAGGCATTCAAAACATAGTAAGACATATGCTTGCATCTTTCCATTGATTAGGATTTCACTTTTTAAATGTGACCTAGTACCTCTTAGGGTAGTTCCAAATAAAAGGTTTATTCTACATGTTTATCTAAAGTGTCTTAACTGTACTTTCAACCTATTGGTCCAGTACATGGACTTATCATGACCTCAGGCTGTCTTCAAGTATAGGCTACCCTACTCCTGTGTCTGAAAATCATAAAAAGCTCTGAGATGAAAGTAGTTGTAAAATCTTGTTCAGTGCCCTAGTTGAATACTTGAAGACATCCCTAAACACATAAAACCATTCTGCCACTTGTTTTTCCTTCCAAAAGAGTGTGTGGAGTGTGTGTGTGTGTGTGTGTGTGTGTGTGTGTGTGTGTGTGTGTGTGTGTGATGATTACAAATTTAAGTACAGCCTTACTTACATAGAAACTTCCAGACTGGCAACTTTGATGCCTCAAAAAATGGCAAACCCCACTTCCAATTGTTACCAAGTTTCTTCAAGTTTTATTTTGGGTCTTTTCTGCTTTACTATTTATTGTATTTTATTTATGTGGGTGTTTTTCCTGCATGTATGTCTGTGTACTGTGTCTCTACCTGGTACCCACAGAGGACATTGTGAGCCACCATGTGGATAGTGAAAACTGAACCCTGATACTCTGGGAAAGCAACCAGCGCTCTTAACAGCTAAGTCATGTTGCAAGCCCTTTTCCAAGTTCTTATTTTCAGTCACAAACTAGAGACCAGCATTTCCCAAAAACATAGAAAGCAGAGTCATCAAGCCTTGGGGTTAAACAAACCGAAATAACTTCCTTACAGAACTGGAGAAATGAAGATAGAGAGGGAAGAGAGGATGACAACAATTTCATGGAACACTTTTGGATCATCTTATTTGAGGTTATTCACATTACCTATTCTTGTGTTTGGAAATGGTTTAGCTAGTTTCTGGAATCACAACTGACACAACATTCATAGGGGGGGCTATACTGAACAGCCTGAGCAAAAGGATACCTATTCCTTTGGTTCTGGTTGCTTTCTATCAATTAAGAGCAAATAAATGTGAAGCCAGCTCACTGAACTGTAATTTCTACCATTTCTATATTCCCACCACAAAGTAGGCAAATGATGCTTAATAGATATTCATTGAAATTATATATTAATAGAAAATGGGTGGCTCACTCAAGTATCAACTACAGCTCAATCTGAGGTAGCACTAGCAGACACTGACAAGAATTCTTAAGTTTCTGATTTGTATGCTTCTATAAAAATTCCTTGTCCATGAACCAAATAAACAAATCACTGAATCAATGGCTTCCAAATATAACCAGATTATTTCAAAGTCTTCAGTTGTAGTTATATAACAATAGAAAATTCAGGTATCTATGATAAGCAAAATCAAATAATGCCAGGATTTTTTTCATTTTGAAGAGACCTTAGAGAATTACTTAAACCTTAATTGTTATGAATTTAGTGTATACATTTCTATCTTAATCATGGAAGAAAACAGAATCTAAATGCCTAAACACTGCAAAAACCTATACAGCTTAGGTCAAGGGTTACTAATGGATTTGATTAGATACCAACCTAGTATTTTTCATTTTTACTAACAATAGTGCTTCCCGTCAGTGGATTCTATTGGCGCCTGCCTATGTTCCTTCAACACACAGCATGTCTCGGTGCACTGATCTCATTGCATCTACATGCCAACTTAAAACAAGTTGCTTTAGGACTTTCTCCAGCCAGGGAATTCTGCAGGGTAGCACCTCTATGCCACTGATGTAATGAGACCTAGAGAGCAAATAACCCCTCTCCCTTATGTTGAAGCATGTTCTGTAGTTGTCCAGGAATACTGATTTCCAGTTACCCATTACAGTGGGTTAGCATTATAAAACACATATGACAAGCAAAATAATGGCTTCCCCAAGGTGCCTTGATGCTAATTCCAGGATTCTGTGAATGTGGTTTGTTACAAGACAAAAAACAATTAAGGTCACACATGGAATTAAGGCTGCTAACCAAATGACCTTAAAAGAGAGATAACCCTAAATTATCTGGGTGGTCCCAAAGCAACCACAGTGTCTTTAAGAATAGAAGAGGCAAAAAAAAAATGATGTCAAAGGAAATTCTACATCGACATTTTTCAGATGAGGAAAGAAGGCCAAGGGCAAGGAAATATAGCCCCCCCCCTCTAAAAATCAAAAAGATAAAGAAATAATTTATTCCCTAGAACTTCCAAAAAATGCAACCTTGCTGACACCTTGAGTTAAGCCTAGTAAAAGCTAGGTTGAATTACACAAAAAATAGTCTTCTATACCTGTATAGTTTTAGTGGTAAATCTCTTTTCCAGACATAGAAGACTCATAGGACACTATCATTATCCTTTCCTCTCTGCTCCACCTCCCTATCTCCTGCTGGGAATTCCTGGAACTACATTCAAAAAGAACTACCTACGCCCTTATGACAGGGACAGCTTCTGAGGAAGCCCAAATAAAACACAACCATTATGTTTCTCTGATTTTTCTATGCATGAGCTATTATGTTATTTTTGCCTTCATAATCAGGTAAACGTTCTCACATATCAAAATGCAAACACAAGTAACTCAACTTCTAAAATCAAGACTAAATTTCTCATGCATTAAAAGACCACAACCACATAAAGACATATAAGAAAGTGCTGACAATGAATATTATGAGAAACTCAGTTATATAGAGAAAATAAGAATTACAGGCATCTACAATCTGTTTGTAAACAGCTATTTCTTAAGTCCAGACTTTCCCATTTTGACCTATGGTACAGTTACACTGGTTATATTTCTAATGATAAATTGATTATCTCACTTCTTCAGAAACCTCTGTATTTTCTGTTTTAAATACCTCATTGGAAATTCAGAGCACTCCAACATCAAACTAAAATCATATTGACATGACTTCTCTTTGTATTCTTCTTGACCAGCCAAGTTACTATCTGTCATTTCATACAGCACCTTTCTTCCCTTTCTTTACCCTGTAAGACTTTAGCCCATTTCCTTCTCTCTCGGTTATCTTTCAATTGATTAAATACATAAAAAATAAAATACTGTATAGAAAATTTACTTTCCTGTCTAGTCAAATACTCTAGTAACAAGGATCAGAAAACAAATACCAAGTGAAAACTAATAAGACCTCCAATGCCTTCTTTCTGCTGAATAACCATTGACTTGGAATTGACTGTTTAATAGATTGCCATGATTCTCAGAAAAAAAAAATTTCAACTTTGGACTTTTAAACAATATTGTGACTGTGATAGAATATGAGGACTTTTGAAGTAGAACTAAATGTATTTTACATTATTATATGGCCAGCAGTCTATCGGGACCATGTAGTAAAATGTGGTAGTTTGAATGAAAATGGCCCACAAAGAGAGTGGCACCACTAGGAGGTGTGTCCATGTTGGAGTAGGTGTGGCCTTGTTGGAGGAAGTGTGTCACTGCAGGGTGGGCTTTGAGGTTTCAGAAGCTCAACCCAGGCCTACTGTCTTTCTTCCTGTTGCTGCTGATTGGGATATAGAAGTCTCACCATTATATCTGCCTGAATGTCACTATGTTTCCTGTCATGACACTAATACACTAAACCTCTGACCTGCAAGTCATCCCCAATTAAATGGTTTCCTTTATAACAGTTTCTGTGTCATGGCATCTATTCACAGCACTTAGAACTTTAAGATAGACTATATATTCTGTCATTGACCAAAATAATAAGTTCTTCTTTGCTAACTTGTCAAGAACTGGCTTCTTTTCTAATTTACTCACCGAGGGTATTCTGTTCCCCAAAAGAAAGGCTTCTGCAGCTCACCAGCTGGAAATCCTGAGAGGATGGCAAGCAAAAAAAAATGTTAAGGATATGGAGAAGATGATTCAATGTCCCGACTCTGGTTTTACCTACAGTCCAAAAGCTCATCCTAACTTTATTCCTTATGGATCCATCATACATTCAAGATACCAATTTAAAGGTGATATTAATTCACCTTGAAATGGAATCATTTCAAAGACAATTTATACAGATATGCTATTGGTAGAGTTCAGCCTACTGTGAAATGGGCCCCTCACACACAGCACACCCACAGGCTGCAGGATAGCCAGCAGGTCCCCAGATGTTAACAGATTTCAGACTCCTAGTTACACACTATTACAGCCACATGTGCCAGTCATGAAAAATTGTTATAGATTGATGTGATAGTTCACATCATGCCTTGCATGTCTTTGTAATTGAGTCTTTGAATGTGTGTTTTATATGTGGGTTCAAAGGAGGTCATTAAGCATGTGTGTGAAAAGAGTATATGAAGATGATATGCAATTCAGCTGTACCTCTGCAGTTGTTTCACACATGGGGGAGTCTAATAAGATACAGTCTAACTAGCACAGTTTCATGTTACTCTGAACTCAACAGTTCTAGACTTGGGTAGCCGCGAGAGTCCATGCTTTCCCTGTTAACTAAAATTTGCTTAGATTACTAAAATAAGTTAATAGCATTCTAAGAAATAGAATGATTAGAGTTGTACATTTCTTTGTCTCTTCATACTTCCCTGTATTACCAAACCTTTCAAACAGAAATTGGTAACATAGAATAAAAGGGAAATGTATTATTTCTTTTTTAGTCTCTTCTTTTCATCAATAAAGCAAGGATGAAGAGTGTTGGTAGATAAATGATTGAGAATTAAAAGCTAAGGATACAACTCAATAATAGAGTGCTGCATAGTATTAGGGGTGGGCAACACTAACACTACCAATAAAGAAGTAGTAAACATATAAGTAGTAGCAGCAGTAACATAAAAATAGCTGAATTAGCTCTGCACAGTATGTCTACATTGCTGGTGAAAAAAAATTCATGTATGTGCTGCAAAATATAAAGTGTGTCATTTTAGAAATTCCTTACACAAGTTAAAAGTGACCCTATTCACATTTAAGACTTGCATTGTAGCATATAAAGATGGAAGGTAAAATTCTTGCTAATGACGTAAAATTTTAGTGGCTCCAATAACAGCAGTAAATGGCAAAGGAAAAACACTGTCAATGAGTCAAAAGAGAGGATGTCATTTTACATTTTAGCCCTTATGGTAGCATTTGTTCTGCTTCTTGCATAAGAGGCTATGCATCTTCATTTTGCACTGAGCCCTACAAATTAGTTAACCAGCCTTGGATATAGATGAATGTAAGAAACACTTGGTTTTGCCCTTCCAAGTCACCATGAAATTGTGTGCCTTGAGGTAATCCTTTGGGTTGCGCTTAACAGTCATTACAACTGGGAATTCATAGGAGAGGGGGGGATGGGAGCTGAAGAAAGGGAAAGAAGGAAAGAGACCTTCTGCAATGTCCTTGTCTACTTGAGAGTGGCTTCTCTAGGCCCCATGAGACTAAATGTTCTTTTATGAATTAAAATACTCCCTGCTCTCTGCTCAACTTTCTACCTCCCCTCCATGCCAGGACACTTTGAGGGTAAATGAGGGCAGAAAGCAAGTCTTGAATATAGACATGAAGCACTCATTTCATAAAACCCTGATATTCTGTGTATTTTATAATAATATCAGACTTTGAGATTTCAAGGTACATAAACCTAACTGCAAAACAGAAATGGAGTCAGTTGATGTTTCTCTCTTCCTGCTGCTTTCAAATAAAAGAAAACACATCAAATATGTTTTTATTTCATGGGAAAATGTGACTTTAATCTTTATAATTTCTACATTTTCTTAAACATCTTTGGCTTCTTTACAATGATAGTCCATCCTCCTTTTTTGGTGATTTGAATTTAGTAAGCTATTTTGATACAGATATACATATATATGCAAATATATCACATGTAAATGCAAATTTCAGTGTTTATATGAAGATTTCATTTCACACAATAGATCACCCTACAGTAAAGATATTTTTCTAATAAGAACAATGATCATAAGCCAATGCAATTTGATTATTCAATCATTATGGCTTCCTTGCTTGGTAATGTGCCCAGCCAGAAGCAGTTTTATCCACTGACAACCTCCTCACAGAAAAACATCTGAAACTGGCATAAGCCTCCACTGCTGCAGCTTTGGTTTTTTTAGGGGTCCCAGTCTCCAGTGCTGAAGCCATCACATCACCCTGATCAGCTATATCTTCTCAGCTTGTCAGGGCCTTGAAACCCAATAGTGATAAACTGAAGAATCTGATGCCCTTAGGCATGTTTTGCCGAAGTGAATGGATTAATAGTATAAGCTGCATTTTTGGAGATGTCAACTAGCAAGAATGATAGATGGAAATCCCAAAGAGGTCAATTCAATATCTTATCTCATAATGTGGATAAGTTGTATTAGCAAAGGTGGAAGTGAAAAATAAATAAATTGAAAGGGAGTTCTTTCTCTCTCCCTTTTTAATAGGTGCCGGTTTTATTTTTTCACAAACTCATTTTATTTCAGTGTTTTCCCATTGCAGAACCACTTATCACCTGTTCCAGACTTTTAAAGCTCCTTTTTAAAAATGAGTATATTTATGGGAAGCATTCCTCATTGTGTGTGAGAGAGAGGCTGGGGGAGGGAGAGGTGGAGAGAAGGGAATGTAACCATTGGGTTGGCAAAAATTAATGATTTTGTAAGAAGCATGGCAGTAGGGTAAGTTGTTGCAAGAATTTTTTTAATAGACTACATCTCTGTGATATTTTGAGAACTCTAACAGATAATAAACTAAGTAGAAACATGACATTTGGTACAGTGCATAAAATTTCTTTGTAACATATGTAATAGATAGATATATGCACAGATGCATGATTTCAATTCTTCTCTAACAGACTGATCTATTATATAAACAAAAAGACAATTCCCTTCCAATACAGAAAATACAGTGGGGAAAGTCTGGGACAAAGGTCTAGTTTTGCATTTTTGCTTATGCACAGCGCCATCCATAAGCAAAGCAAAAGGCACCTGTACTGAACCACATGGGAGTACACAAAGTGCTCATATCCAGACACCCCAACATGATCAACTACTTTCAGTCACTCTGTACTTTACAAGCTATACCCATGACATCTGCTGCCAAAATGTTCAACTTCAGATAAGTCTCCTCCAAGTATGGACACATATAAGAAGAAAAATAAATCAATTATCCCTTCACTCTGACATTAAAAAGCAAATTAATATACTCAGGACTGACGAACTCACACTATATAGAAATATGTCAAACAGGAATAATTTTCCCTCATCTCCATTCATTTCTGCCCATGACCTATCTTTCTCCCTCTATCTGCATGCCTTATTTCAGGTATTTGTCCAAATGTCACCTTACCCCCCTGGTGCTTTTAAATGGTTTGGGTGTTACCTTCTGTGATTTCTTCTTTATAATTCACTGTAATACTCAGCTACTCTCCATTTTAATAGATAACCAACCTTCCAACAGGAATTGCATGTTCCATAATAAAGTGTTTTTTAATTATTTCTTTTATTTTTTAAAATTATAATATAATTACACCATTTCTTCTTTCCTTTTGCTCCTTTCAAACCTTCTCATATACTCCACCTTGTTCTCTTTCAAATTCATGACCTAATAAAGGGATTTCTCATTTTATTTAGCTTTACTTTATTTTTCACTATAATCCCCTCAGAGCTAGAATTCCTGGCAAATATCTGTCAAGTGAATAGATTCCCTACCTTGTGACCTCAAAAAGGTGACTGAGGTTGATGCATTACCTGTAGTTATGATTATATTTTATTAGCAAAAGCCTAATAGTACATGATGTATTTAGTACTAACAATGCATTACTTCTTGAAGCTTCCATCTTCAGTGCCAGATCTGAGATATATTATTTAAGTTTGACTTTTCATTTTCTTTCTAGATGAGAGCTGTGCTGGCTCTTGCTTTGATGGCAGACGTGATATAGTTTTGAAGCCAGCACACAGTCCATCAAATGCAGTATGAAGGCTGGAAAGGTGGCTCAGTGGACAAATGCTTTCCACACAAGCATGAAGACTTAACTTGGGAATCCCCAGCACCCATGTAAAATGCATGTTCCTGTAATTGTAGTGCAGCAAGGCAGAAACAAGAGCATCTCTTGGACCCCAGGGCAAGCCAGTCTAGCCAATCAGTGAGAAGCACTGTTTTAGAAAATAAGGAGGAAACATCAGAGACGACACTAAAGATCAACCCAGCCAAAACATCCACAAATGAGCACACATATGAACATGAATACAATATACAAGTATGGACAAATAGAAGTCCTGCCTACCTTCATGTAATTTCTATCACACTGTTTCCCCTGGGTCCTCCATACTTTCCCCCCAAAGGATTAAAATGAAATATACTAACCTTTCTAATGTTTATGGCATGCACAGTCATTCCATTTAACTACAACATACATTTTATGCCACATAACCTTAAGAGTATAATTTAAGGTAATCATCACATAGCAAATATTCTGGAAACATTACTTTCCAAACATTTCTCTTATTCTGAAGTTCTATTCTTTCCTATTGACATAAATGCTATTACACTTTAAGATATCCTTGAGTACGACTCACACATCTTTTCCTTTTGTTTCTGTGTTTAATCATACTGCTCAAAAACAGGATACTTCAAACATCCTTCGCCAGTGTTCAAAGCCCAGCACACTTAACATTTTCCCTTCTTCCTGTCAGATTTTACTACAGTTTATTAACACAAAGCAAGGTAACTCAAACTTACCTAAATCCAGAACCATTTCATTCAGTAACCCTTTTGACTCTGGTGAAGGATTACCATTTTTTAATTATTTAGTTAGGGTTCTTCCAGATATCTCTAAGGAAGAAATGGCATTGGCTGATGCAAAGTTCAGTCCCCCACAAAAGGTAATAGGGAAAATTCAAA